GATATTTGTTTATAAAAAATAATATATATTAAAATTAGTCTTGTGTTTATTTTAAAATATTTTAATTAATATAAAATTGGATATTTGTTTATAAAAAATAATATATATTAAAATTATTTTTAAAAATTAATTTTAATGTATATAAAAGTTAACACTAGAACTTTACAAGGTATGCCAAAAAAAAGTAACGACAATAATGATAACAAAATAGTACGAGAACTGGATAGACCAGCAGCAATCAAACATACTATAAACGAAGGCAAATATACTCCATAAATGTACGGGGAGAGGGACCACACCTAGTGCCAGCAGAACATGGGCCACCTCGTGACCCTTTCTCTTGACATGGATATGTACCATTGACACCTGATAATGACACTTGATAATGCTTATGTAACATCAGAGACTTACCTAGGTATGGGAAATTATGCATTAAATGATACAAAGGATGACTAATTCATCCCAAAAGTCATCTTCTGGGATCCACTTGAAATAACCCTAAAAAGATACAACTTGGAAACTCGAGACGTATGTTCCTGTTACATCCTGGGTACTTTCCAGAATCACTTAAATATTATTATGGAACACTAGAAAATAAAATCATAGTAACAGTTATAAATACAAAAATTTGTGGTAGATTCCTCAGATTCAGGTCTCATTTTCTGCACCTGTTGGGGAATGAGGCACAAATGGAACGAATCCACGGCCACCAAAAACAGGTCTCATGATCTTGTCATCAAATTTTCTCCAAAAGTAATGCACGGTAAAAGTAGGGTAAGTTATCAGCAACCTGAAGCTGCTCCTTCTTGGCACTGGCAGGTTGCCATTGCCATCCTGGTCATCCTCATCGCCGTTTTCCAGGAATAGCAGCCTCAAGTCGTCAAGACTGGGAATGTCAGTTGCATCAGATATTGCTGGTCTTGCATGTCGTAGCAGTACAGCTTCGATTAGAGGCTTGGTTACAGAACCAAAAACCTGTTTGAATGGGAAATCTTGCATTAGTTTTCTACTTCTCTTCGCTCACAAGTTATGTAATATGAAATTGTATTGCAGATGATCGAAAATGATAGAAGTTGGCTTAAAAAAGTTTGTTTCTTTGTCTAGAAAAGATTCTCAGGTTAATGATAATGATATATGATCCGTTTTGTTAGATCAATGTTGCATTTTCCAGGTATTATATCCCATGAAATGGAGGTGATTATCTGAAGCAAGTTTAAACTAGCACTGCAGACAATGGAAAGGACCTTAGGATGCTGTCCGTATCATATGGTAACACTAGTAGGCCTTAGTGCCCAAAATGACAGAGAACTTACCACAGTACTAAACAGGACAACTATTATTGTACATGTGATCATCAACGCAGAATCTTTTGTTGATGTTGCCTTGGAGCTTGAAGAAAACTGCAATTTGGTATTTATGAGATCCATACCAAGTTAACCAAACAAACGCACATACTAGAATGTTAAATTGGCTTGACATGTTTAGAACTTACTTCGTTGTAAGACAAAGCAATTGTAACTGCGCCTCTCATCAGGCCTGCCCACCACATTATAAACTGCAAGTTTAAACAGTTAGCAAAAGTTGAATTAGAACTATATGGAGCAAGCCGAGCGCTCAGTTTCCTGTTACCATCACCCACCTGTTTTCTAAACTCAATTTTGGCACCCTCTCTTTTTGAAAGACAGTTGATGAGATTTGCTAGGGGGTATATAAATGCTGCCCTTCCAATCAACACAAGGGCAAGCAATGTTGAACTAACAGCAACTGAAGTTCCTGCACTGAATCAATAATGAAGCAAGTTAGATTGGGTGCATATATATTCAAAGCCTGCATCAAAAGAACAGAAAACTACCCTGCACAGCTCTCTTTCCATTTTGAGATGTCCAAGGCATCCATTCCGACATACAAGAATATAAAGGTTTCTGCAATGAATGACATTGTTGCAAATGCGTGCCTGAAATCATCAACCACAACGAGATTGTTGCAAATGTATGCCATTTCATCTGAATTGGATCAAATCATTAACAGGTAGAAAAATCAATCTCATGAACATTCTTTCATATCTTCTGTTAAATACTTCAACTAGATTCACATTATGGAAAATGTTAGATCGTAATTTCAATGTGCAGGGATACTATCAACCCTTGTTAGATCATGATTTCAATGTACAGCAATGATATGAACCCTTGTTAGGCCACGATTTCAATGTACAGGGAGGATACGAACCCCTTATGCCTCTTGTCCAACAGAACAATAGAGTGAATTAAATTTGGCAAAAGTCGGCTTATAAGACTTCTTGTTTTGTAATCCATTCTTAAATATGTTCACGCATTGGGAACAAACTGTTCAATCAGCGGTTTTGGGATTATTCTATAAGGTGATTTTTTAAATTTTAGACTTTTAGTTAACTAGATCTTCTCACAGATATGCTTCAACGGTTCTTCTCATTTCAATGAAGTGAAAAAAAAAAAATGGAAGAAGAAGAAGAGAAGACTCTTACTTGGCTGTTATCCGCGAGCTTTCAGTAACATTATGCCATGTATAGTGCGACATGACAATGCCACAGAAGAAAACTGTCAAAATCCCGCTCAAACTTAACAGCTGCAAGAACAAAATGTAAATTTATCACTTTCAGAAGTTCATAGCTGACTATCCAATTAACAAATTTTCAGTTAACACAATTTCAGCCATCCATTTCCATTTCAATGGTCAAACACCTCATTGGAAACTGGGGCTTTTGATGGTCAAGAATTATGCTATAGCCTGAAAGGCCAATTAACAACTAAATTTTGTAATAATAAGGAAACGCATTGGTTGATAAACTGATTCAATATTGATGTAAACGGCAATATCGGTTGGAGGCGAAGGAAAAAATAAGTTCTTATATTTGTTTTTGGCTGCTTCTACTTCATGATTTCCATTGATAAATACAAAATACATACATTATGTTCATGTTAATATTTCAAACATCAAGTCTAAAGTAAACACGAATTCTTCATTTTCAGAAGGAAATGTGAAATTGTTATATACCTCAGCCAACATGTATGACAAATAAGCCATAATCATCATAAGTGCAATCTCCCGATCTGTTGAATGCCTATTTTTAAGGAAAATAAAAGAAATTGATTCATTATTCTTGAATTATGTCAAGGAAACTTTTATGATAAACGCCTTGAATACATGACAAACCATAAAGAAATAAAGAAGATTAATGCAGGATCAGTTGCTAGAAGGAAGAAAATGTAGAGCAATGCTTCATACCTTCCAAAATAAAGCGTCTTTATGATAAAAGCACTTAAAAGACCCACCTGAAACATCACCATGGAGAAATTAGCAGATTGAAGCATTTCAAGTACCTGAATAAAACTCTTCGTCTTCTTTTTTGATTTTTTGGCCATCGAATAGAACTCTTCTATTTTGGAAGAAACATAAGGACTCTGATCTATATCCAGAATAAAGCCTAAGCAACGAGTATGGACTTAAATGGCTTTTTTTTTTTTTTTGGTAAAATCTCATTAAAACTGTTGTTAAGCTCCTAGGCACTAGACTATTGATTGCTTTAAAACAACTTGTTTTCAACATTGCTGTTGATAATCTATCATGCAGTTCCTTTCTAATCTTCTTAACTCATTCACAAAGTGAGTTTTGTTTTCTATTCTAATAGAATCAAATTTCTAAAGAACTAAACATAAGATAAATAAGCAGAACAGCCCCCCCTCCTGCACCAAGAACTTAATATTGATGATCTTTGAATTTTTAATTAACACAGCCAAATGTGACAACTTACTGCTAAACCGAGAATGGTACTGGTGAAGAAGAGGTAAAGAAAAGTCCCCAACAATTTCAAGGCTATAGTGGCATCAATATGGTTGAAGTCTAGTGATTGGACTGAATTGTAAAGCACAATAGAGGTAGCATCATTCACTACTCCCTCTCCAAAGACAATACTGTACAGCAATGGAGTTTCATCTTGACTTAGAACCTTTAACTCCGAAAAGGTCAAAATGTTAGTGTCATAGACTAATTATAATAAACTTGTGCTGAGACAAATTTTATTCGATATACCTGTAATGTACAAACGGAGTCAGTTGCAGATAATATGGCACCAATAGCTGTACATGTAGAAAACTCAAATGAGCAACATACGAGCATAAGATGTGGGAGGTTAATCAAAAGATCAATTAAGAATATTTTGTGTCACCTAAATAATCTTGAATGACCAAGGATGTGACACCTATTTTCTTGAACAACAAAGATGCACCTAAAACAATCAATAACAGAAATAATGAGTTAGAGTTTGGTGTTGAGAGCAAATCAGATCAGAAAACTAATGCACCAGTGGTTTTAAAAAGGCTGTTTAATTATCAATACATTTCGACTACATTGAATTGTTAGATTAACAATAGAACCAAGAATTGGTTGAAAGAATGTGAAAGTCTTACCGAATGATATGAGGCAGAATGAGATTACTGTACCAAATATTCCAAACAGCAATATAATCGTGAAATTCTTGAAGAATTGCTTCTTCTTGACCTGGAACCTAGAATAAAGTTTGGAAATCAAGAGGAAAAAAAATCAATGCTGATCTTTATATGGTGATCTTATTTACCAAGGAATTCAAAAAGAGATGACTTTAAGCACATCACAGGAAACCAGTTGACATATCATAAGCCCCAAGATTGAAGATCTGTAACTGTTAAGAATTCCAACAAAATGTAAAGGAACACACATCCCAAATGAAGATACATGAGAATTTAACCCAAAAAACCCCAATTACTTTTATGCTACCAATTGAATTATGGAAGTCAGCCTAAAGAGAGATCATATACCCAGCATTGAAAATGATGGGAGGAAGCAAATAAAGGAAGAACAGGTCCTCACTGAACACCAAAAGGCGTGAACTGTTCCCTTTACTCACTAGCAGCACCACTGCTCCAGCACACAACCCCTGCACCCAACCAAGCAACCAAAATTCACAGAGAACAAATCACAAACAGAAAGAGAGCACTAGAATTCAACTAAGAATCATCATCATCATCAACCCACCAAAAGAAGTGCAGTGATGGATTCATTAGCCCACCGGTTCTCCTCCAGGAGGTGTCCGATGATAATGCAAGCACAGAGAAGGGTGAAGAACACTGAAAGTGCAATAATCGTGGTGGTATCAAGCAAGTCCGATGAAGTTTGGACCGGTATAGTCTCAAGGGAGGCCATTTAGGGGGGTTTGAGGCTTGATCTTGCATTCACAAAAATGGGTTTGGAGAGATGTAAGCAGAGAAGATTTGGGTTTGACAATAAGGAGCAGAAACCTAGGTGAGTATGTGAGTGTGAGATTTGACCAAAAAAGGAATAGTTTTGTAGTTTCAGTTTCAAAGTCTGAGATGGAGGGAAGACTGGCAGTTAAGAAGAACATGGAATGGGATTATTTCATGTTTGATTGCTACAACAAACTTTCTTAATTGTTTCTAAATTGTGTTTGGTACCATAAATTTACAAGCATACCAAAATTGTAGGTGATGTATAATCACATTATTATTCTTTTAGGTTGCATATATTCACAATATTATATACACAGAACAGTGGTTTCAACTTGTATTATAAAAACTTAAGTGGAAAAACATTTTAAAATTAAATTGTTTTAATAAAATCTTATTAAAAAGAATTAAATATCTTAATTATTTTTAAAATAGAAATAATGGTATTTTAATCTTTCTATGTAGTGTCTTATTAGAATAAAATAATTTTAAAATATTTTTTATTTAATTTTTTTATAAATGCAATTGATAAATATTAATCTCTTATATATAATTACTTATTTAATAATATATTATTTTTATGTGATTCAAAAATTAATATAAGATTAAATAATTGTTTTTTTATAAATTAATATGCATAAAAATTAATATGTTTAAATGTAAAGACTTAGTATAAAGTGCAACCTTATAATAATTAAAAGAGAAATTAATTTTGAGTTATGATTAAAAACTTATGTTAAGAAACATTATAAAAATACGATTGCCGGATGGCCCCACAATAACTGCCACGCCACGTTTTTTAGGCGGACATGTCCAATGGTCCATATTATGACTGTTTCTTTGCATTTTTTTAATTAATTAAAATAAAAGATTTTTTAAAAACATAAGCTAAGAGTGTATTTATTATTTTTTTTATTATTAATATTTATAATAAAACTAAAATTTGAAATTAAATTTATTAATTATTTAATAAAAAATATCCATATATTAAAGATATTAAAATTAATGTTAATTTTTTTATTTTTTATGTAAATTAAATTTTTTTTATGTTGATTGCATAATGGGAGGCAACCATTTTTCATTGCTTATATTACTTTACAACATGTCATGTTATTTAAATTCAAGACCTCTTATTTATAACGAAAAAATATTATCATTAAGTTATTTAAGTCATTAGTATAAATTGATATATTAAAATTACATTTGAACACTTTTAACTAGTATCTTAAAAATACATATTAAACAAATTCATTCTAAAAAAAATAGGGGTCCTAGTTAATCAGTCTCATTTTTAATGTTTATTCATTTTGAGCCCCACTCTCTAAGTGGAATTTATTTGTCTTCTTTTTACTAAAGTTCGTTTGAGGATTTTCTCCTTTTATCCCCACGGGCCATGAAGTTTAGTTGGATGATTTTTTTCCCTGAAATGCATGTAATAATATGGGTGGCTATATAGGACAATAAAACATGGAAACATCATATAAACATAAAAAAGGCAGATAATAAAACATGGGCTGGCAGAGGATAGCTCACTTAAAAGAAAGAACATGTGATGTTCTGAGAAAATAATGTAATTCTAGCGTGGTGGATAGCTTATATTTAATAAGGGTAATGACATGAGACAAATTTTTTATATAATTTCTTTATACAATTTTTATATATTATTAAATAAAAAATATATAAATAATATTATAAGTTTCAATAAAATAAAAAAATTAATTATTTAATAACATATAAAGTTGTATTAAAAAATTATTTAAAAATATATATATTTTTTAAGTTGTTCTTGCTTAAAATGTAACATTTTGGGAATTAACGACCCATAATTTAGGTGATGCACACAATAATTCTAAAGGGACCTCGGTGACAATTATATATCCTTGCTTACTGCTAAAACAACAGTTCAGATGTCTTATGAACATGGATTTTGGCAAAGTCAGGTTGTGCAAAGGAAGGTTTGTATGTAGACGTATGCGGAATCTTTTTTATATTGTCTAGAGTGTAGATTCAGACTGTGCATGCCAGCCTGGTGTGCTCATGTGACCACTACTTGACCACAGCATGTGCATTTAAGGTTATGTGCATCTAGACTTTAGTCACTCTGCTTAGAATCAAGAATCCATCAAGGAATTTCTTCTTGGGTTAGTGCTCGCTCTCAGTCAGGTTTAGGAGTCGTTTGATCCAAAAGGACACCATTTTGATTGTTTGGGCCTTGTCTGAGACGACTCTCAACTGACAAACACTTTTTCCTCCTGCAAAATGCGTGCATTTTGAAAAATTTTCATTCAGCCTCTTCCATACCCAGGATTGATGTAGGAGAAGCCACCTATTGGGGGTCAATGAATAATTCCAAAAGGAAAAAGAATTAGAAACTTAATATGGATCCCAGATGCATGTGTGATTCTTGTAAGTCAAAGAGAAACTCCTTTTGAAGGGTCCTATATGATGGAAATGAAGAGAAGTGTGCTTTAATTTAAATGTAGTAGATTGAGCAACAAATTAAAGAAAAGTATTCCATTCAAAATTTAAAATCATTTACTAGAGTTATACAATGGGAAAAAACAAATCAAATCAATATGTGAACACAAAAACTCCAAGCTTTTTTGGCTGCTTACAAGCTGTCACAAGTAGGAAGCTGCAAGTAACAAGCCATTAGGATTGAAACTCTCATGTAGGTATGTCCAAGATGCCTCATGAAGCCAATTTGCTGTTTCTTCTGCATTTAGGTTATTGAGCAGTGTGAAGACAATCTGGTGGCACAAGGAAAAAGATGCACTGATTACAAAGACAAGGTAAGTAGCATATATGTCCAAAGCTTAAGAAATGAGTCAAAATTGTTAAAACAGAACAACCGGAATCCCAATCAGACAGCAAGATACAGAGGCCATAACAGAGAAGTTATATTATTGTATGTGAACATGTGTCATCTCCCAACTGTGATCAGAACCTAACTGATCTGTTTTTCTCCTCTATATCCAAATTATAGAGATTAATCCATTGCAGTGTTGATAATAACTAAGCAAACCTGCTAAATAGATTTTCAAGAAGAGGGACTACAAAACTGTCAGTGATATAGCTGCAGAACGAAGCTTCACACCATCATCATCCCACTTTGACTGTGGAGCAGTAGCACCGGCAATAAATGCCTGCATATTAACCAGAGAGGACACAATTTGTGAAGGAGATATAATTGTCTCTAGGAAAAATTTTGGGGTTCAAAAAATTGGGTTGCTGGTTTGGCATAGGAGATATGCCAACTTCCAAGTAATTGAATCCTTTAAGCATCATCTTGACAATAAAAAGGCAAATGTCTGACGGAAAAAAGTCTATCTAAATTTTGTGTGTGTGTTTGTGGTGATGGTGGTGGCTGGGTGGTGAACTGAGGACAGACTCACTAATAATGAGAAGCATGAATTACTAACCTTTCCACTGTTAACCGCAGCCACAAGAGCAATGTGCTGTTCATCTCTACCAAATTCATAGAAATAGTATGTCCTGAAACAAGCCAACCATTTCAGGTGTATACATCATAAAAAATTTACGAAGATAGTACATCTAACATTTAAATATGTCATTCAAATAGATTTTGTTCTCTGTGTCACCTGTATTGCTTTGAAACTGGTCAAAGTTTCACATCCTTAGAAAGGCAGATTGTCTTTATTTACTTTTTTAACAGAATAAAACAATGAGGAACAAATTCTGCCATAGTATTCTACCCAATAAAGATAGGTAAGGTCAGGTGGGAGGGGTGCAAAATGTTCCTTGTTTAATTAAAAAAGAATGCATTAGTAGTTTTTTTTTTTAAAAAAAATTTTTCTTGCTATATCTCTTCTTAGTCTCACAAGTCTTCACAATCTTTAATACTAAAATGGCAAGAAACTTACCTAAAATCTTCATCTTCCTTTATCTTTATTGTTCGGGCAGAGTATATGGTTGCTCCACCTGCCATGCCAGTTTGAAGACTGAGAGGGAGATGACACAAGCAAGATAAGAAGAGAACTAATGGCAATTTGTTCTGATATTACAATTGACAGATTAGAGGAAGTCTTGACAAAGTATTTATCACAGTGAAGGAGAAAACAAATACTAGATTAAACCATAACAAACCTGGAATGAAGATATTAGCTGCTTCCTTTAAGGAACCTAAATCACTAATATCTTTGGCCTGTTCAAGTTCAGAAAAGAAAGGATCAAGTAAGTTCTCTATGGCATGTATCACACAATCAAACAATGGCATAACTGCACAAGTACTAATACCAAAAAAGATGACATATTTTGAAGCTAGCTAGCCTAGCTCTTAAACAGTTCCCCAAAAATTTTGACACACAAACCTCTAAGAAAGTGATTTTCAGTTGATTAGTTGGGCGAATGACAACACTCAATACTTCAGACCTGCAAAAGTCCATGAGAAAGAAAACTCTAAACAAATTATTACCACCAGAGATTACGAACAAAAGAAAAACTTAGGAAGCATAATTTGATGTAAAATCCAATACCCATCAGGAGATGCAAACCGAGCTGCAAAAGTCCTGGGCTTTGCTTTATCTCCATACAGAGACAACCCGGCATTAAAATCCTGGAATCATAAAGAAATTAACTAAGTTCATCAACAAATTTTGATCATTTTGAGAAACATAATCAAGAATTCAATGTTATCTACAACCACCCACATTATCTTCAATAAACAAGAAAACTAAGAAAATGACTTAACATCTCCATGGATGCTCCATGGAAGACATGAAGAGCATGAATAAATAAGAAAATATACCAATCAAACAGTTTTAACAGGAAAACTAATGTCCTAAATCAAAGCATTTAACCTCAACTATAGTTTAGAAGAGAATACTAACTCACTAAGCTTAAAGAATTTGCAGAAACAATCAAAAGCCTAGAAAACCGAATAAAACCCAAAAATCAGAAAAGCAAAATGCATATCATGCCATTTAATGTTAAATCAAAAGAGTATACCTCAGGGTCCATGATGTCCTCAAACTGAGGAGGGACTCGGATGGCAAACCCATCACCATAAAACTGGAACCAAGATTTGGTGTTTGCAATGCCCAAAGGAGCCGACTTTGAAGGCGTTGAAGGTTCAGCTAAGGATTCTAGAACTGGGTTTTGAGGGACCAAGGAAATGATACAGATTGTGCTAGTTTTCAGGATAAAGTGTCTCTTAGAGATAGTGTTGATGATCTTATTAACGGTTGCAGGTATTGGAGGGGTGAGAGCATTGGGTTTGGGGTTTTGGGGAGGGTTTGGAGGGTGTGGAGAAAGGGAAAGAATAAGGGCCATGAAGGAGGAGAGAAGATAGTTTTCATAGCTGATTATGATTGAGAAGTAGATAATGTTGTTGGAATTTTGGAAGTTAGATTTTTATACTTAGCTAGGGATGTTTTGGGAATTTTATATGGGATTTGATAATTGGTTATACGTCAATTTTGGTCCTCAACTTTGTTACTGATCATGATTTGGTCCGTAGATTAAATAAATCTATGTTTTGATCTTTAAATTTTTAATTCTAGCTCTTTTTTGTCCCAAAATAAGGATATATATTTAATTTAAAAACTAAATCAGGGTTCATACAAAAGTTCAGAACGAGAATTGGAGTTTAATTTAATGACATTTTGTGATTAAATAAGCTTTTAAGACTAATATAAATAATAAATTTTCTTTATATTATCAATTTTTACCATGTAAAATTCTCACATGAAAGAAAAAAAATTTTGATGTAGAGCTAAAATTTAAAACTTTAAAAAGCAAAACATAAATTTATTTAATTTAGAGACTAAATTAAGGTTCTATACTGAAATTAAGGGATCAAAATTGAAGTTTAATTCTTGCTAAATTAGGCTATAAAAGCTCATATTCTCACTTCACAATGATTTCCTTCTTGTTTAAATTACAAAACACCTACCATCAAATAAAGAGATCTGCCCCCTAAATTTAGAAGGTTTACTCAAATGATTGTTGATGTTGAGTCTCTGATGATGCTGTTCAAATTTAAGAGGCATTAATTTTGTTAAGGGTAAGTCCTGTGATGTGAATTTCTTTATAGACCAAAGTGTCCTTGTTTATCTTGCATGGCTGAGAAACATTATCCATGTTAAAGAAGATATGGCCAATCAATCCAGAAGAGAAAACATCTAGACCACAAAAAGTTCTGAATAAAACAGAAACCAGAAATGGGAAATGGAAAAAATCCCTCCTTTCCCTCTTTAATTCCTTGAAAATTTTTTTCTTTCGTACTTAGCCATTTGGAGATGAGTAAAATGGAAACCCTTCTCTCTTCTCATTCTCTCTCTCCGATCGTGAACTCAAAACCTTCCTCTGCAAGAACTCTAATCCCACCTTCTCCTCAACCCAGATCACCTTCTCTATTTCCCTCTAGACCGATTACTTGCAGCCTTAAGAAACAAAATTCTCAGTCTTTGAAACCATCTTTGGAACTACCCACAAGCTGGTTTACTCATGCCCGGCAAGGACTAGCGGCTTTGGCTGTGTCTTTGGCACTGAATTTTTCTCCCATTTTGCACAGTGGAAATGCACTAGCATCTGAATTTGATGTGCTCAATGAGGGACCTCCAAAGGAATCTTTTGTGGTTGATGATGCTAGTGTTCTTAGCAGAGTGACAAAATCTGATTTGAAGAGGCTCTTATCTGATTTGGAGTCAAGGAAGAACTTCCACATTAATTTCATTACAGTCAGAAAGCTCACTGTAAGATCTCATTTTTAACCGTTAATATAGGCTTATTAGTTTGGTACTTTTGAATTTGTCTAATTTATTCCTTGAATGGTCTGTGATAAGGCAATGGTATTCAATTTCAATCTCTATATCGGAACTATTAGGATTTTTATAGAATTTGCAATAAGAAAGAATTCTTTCAGTCATTTACTCTCTCCTATTTTGCTGAGAAAACTGGAAAAGAAGAGATGCAAACCAGTTCTTAGATTTCTTGGGGTTCGGCTTCATAATACCTAAGCATGGTTGGTAGTTGAGTAGGTTGCTTAGTTAAATTATCTAAAAGTTTCAAGTAGAATGCATTTCTTTCCTTTCAAAGCAAAGAAGCTAAGTATAATAATGTTGACTTCAGTTAGAATGTAGGAATCTCTTTATTATGATGGAGGAATAAAATAAAATTCAAGAATTCAATCTAGGGTCTATAATTTTTGTACTGAATGCTATTAACATTTGATTACAGAGCAAAGCCGATGCCTTTGAGTATGCAGACCTAGTTTTGGAGCGTTGGTATCCATCAATTGAAGATGGGAACAATAAAGGTATTGTTGTACTTGTCACCAGTCAAAAGGAAGGGGCAGTCACCGGTGGACCTGCCTTCATCCAAGCTGTTGGGGAAAATATTCTCGATGCCACTGTATCAGAGAACCTGCCTGGTAAGTATGCCTTAACTTCCATTGATGAAAGTGCAGATGGGAAACGCTTTTCATCTTTATTACTTGTCCATTTGGAAAAGTTTGGTGTGTTGATTTTAGCAATCTCTAAATATCAAACTTTGGTTACAGCAATGATTCTTACTTGGTTGGAGACTTTAGGAAGATTTAGATAGTGTGTATACAAGTTGAATGCATACCAATTACAGCAATTATTTATGTTCCACTTAAGTAGCAAAGAACTTCGACAGTAAGGTATTTAAGGAAACCATGCAACATTTCAGAAGGCATTTGCTTTTGTTTTGTTATCTTCCAGAGGCTGCAGGCAATCACCAGGAGTTTGATGATGCTTGGATTCTATACGCATATATATCATTAATCTCTCTTTTCTCTGATTTTTTTAGGATATGCAGTTAAACCAATCTTATTCTGTGGCTTTTTACATTTACAGTTTTGGCCACGGAAGAAAAGTACAATGAAGCAGTGTATAGCAGTGCAAAACGTCTAGTTGCCGCCATTGATGGACTTCCAGATCCTGGTGGCCCCAAATTTAAGGACAATAAGCGAGAATCCAATTTCAAAACCAAGGAAGAGACGGAAGAGAAGCGAGGACAATTCAGTCTTGTAGTTGGAGGTTTGTTGGTGATTGCTTTCGTTGTTCCCATGGCACAATACTATGCTTATGTCTCCAGGAAGTAAAGGTATCTGTATTATTAGATTTCTCTTTCATATTACTTTCCTTGGATGCTGAAGAAACATGTATAACACTTAGTTGTACAAATGATTATATTGGAAATGGTTTATGAGAATCTCTCCTTCCAGGCTAAATATAGATCTTTTATTCTTATTTGTAAAAGCAGAGTACCACAATCATGTCTAATCTAAGGGAAAATGCTGATTGCTGTACCTTCTGGTAGATATTCTTTATCATACTACATTAGCCAACTGCTTTAATTCTGCTCAATCAAAAAACTATGGCCAAACATAGTTTTTTCTTTAGACATTACCACTTATCACATCAAGAACTACAATCATGTACACTAAAACTATGTAGAGAACTTTGGTGTTTTTCAAATTTCAACTGGTGTTCCTTTAGAGGTTTTACCTTCATTCTGCAGAATCCATACCTGATTTTATTTTCTAGTCTTGTTATGCTAGACATATCAACCTAGGGAGCACATGGGTTTATGTTCGAGATGATATCTCAACTTATCAAAGAATGAAAATCGTTGCATCTCATGTCCACCCACACTTAAGAGTAAAGAAATGAAAGAGTGCAATCTCTATAGTGCTTGCTTCCATGTACGAATAATAGCACTATCAGTACTTATTATAACATTGTTAATTGTTGCAATAAGTTAGAAATGAGGAGAACGAAAACATATTAGGTCTTCAGAATTTGAGACTGAGAAGAAAAGGCATTTTGTCTGAGAAGGGTGGGTCGGAGTACTTTCCGGTAAGTATTTGTGATGCAACATACTGATTTGCAGCCTCTGTGTAATGAATTCCATCCCAGTTCACATATTCAGAACTATCACTGCATGCTTTGGCTGTTACTGTGGTTCCATTCAGGTCCTTTGTTTTCCCACATGCAATCCGGCTGTCATAATTCAATGGCGGACCTCCATAACCACAGCAAGCCATTATAGGCTGATCAAATCCTGCAAATATTCATACATTTTAAGTCATTTCTGCTCTATTCTCTACTCCCCATCTGTTCATCTCTAACTGGTAGTATTTAGAATTCTGAACACTAGAAAGTAGTGTAGAAAACATACCATATCTGGAATAATTTGCAATCAGGTTGTATTTTATGGTGAAAATATCTACATATGTGATGTGTGAATCTTTATACTGGCCCTGCAATTTTTTGCAGAGGGCATGAAGCTGTAGATTGAAAAGTTTAGCAGCTTCATTATGCCCGCTCACGCATCCTTGCTCATCAAGCTTCGATGGATCTGTTCCAAACTTGGCTACATTTTGAGCCAAGCAACCAAGAGGTCCTGTGTTATGTATCCAAAAATTCCTGGCCTCTTGATCATGCAATGTCTGCAAAGCAGTACAGAACAGGGCAAGAACTCAAGATAAGAAGGTGAAAACAGGGCAGCATGAAGGAAAATGCCATATTCTGACCCCAAAGCTAACCTTTATTGCAGCTTCAAATTCTGCCAAGATTGTTGGAATTTGGGCAACTATTTGGTCAAATGTTTTAGAATAAAATGCACCAGCAAGATCATTCTGCCCAATATCAAACATGTATAATGCCTTCCCAAAATAATCCTTTGCTGGGATGTACTTGGCATATTTCTTTCCTAACAATGAAATCAAGACTGATGGTTCAATGCTCACCGTTACTTGTAAGAATCCACTGCTTACATGATGTTCTGTAGTATGGACATACCTTGGGCTTGCAATTCAAGAACTCGAGATTTGAATCGGAGAAACTGATCAACCTGAACTCCTATGGAAAATGGACTGATAGAATCTGCAGTTGCTGGAAGTATTTTGGACGCTGCAGCAGCAAAATTGCACCCTTTGCGAAAACTTGGTGCGCCAATTGAATCCAGGTAGGCATTTAGAAACGGCAAATCCATTGCATCCACTGAAACTCATAACGAAAATAACCACAGAAATCTGTTAAAAATGCTTTAAAAAGGGGGAAACAGGAGAGTAAACAGAGCTGAATATGCAAACGTAATTTCCAATTTCATTTCAAGTTCTAAACATGAGTTGGGCATTGTACTGAGAAAATCTACAATGAGACGGCCATCGCAGTATCTGCCAGATGGTCTTCCAAAATAACTCTGCCCATTAGGAGGTTGAAGGCTTTCAATGCCAGCAGCGATTAGCTCGCCGGTGTCAGAATTTGAATCACCAAAGTTAAAAACTGCAGGGATATTGAAGTGAAAAGAATTGGATAAAGGAAAGAAGATGGAGAT